GCCTCTCTCGCATCTGGCTCAACGCACTGACTCTCTCGCATCTGGCTCAACGCAACTGCCTCTCTCGCATCTGGCTCAACGCACTGCCTCTCTCGCATCTGGCTCAACGCACTGCCTCTCTCGCATCTGGCTCAACGCACTGCCTCTCTCGCATCTGGCTCAACGCACTGACTCTCTCGCATCCACGGCTGGCTCAACGCACGACTCTCTCGCATCTGGCTCAACGCACTGACTCTCTCGCATCTGGCTCAACGCACTGCCTCTCTCGCATCTGGCTCAACGCACTGACTCTCTCGCATCTGGCTCAAATCGCCACGGCCTCTCTCGCATCTGGCTCAACGCACTGACTATCTCGCATCTGGCTACAACGCACCCGACTCTTTCGTCCTTCTTTCCAATCCCATTGTGGGGCGGGGTTGGGCAGCATGTGAAGGCGGAGGAGGTGCCGGCGCGATTGGCGGTGCTGCAGGAGGAGCTGCGGGCGTGCCCCGCAGCGAGGCGGAGAGCCTGAAGGGGCGACCTGGCTGTGGCGCGCGCTCCCAGCTGCTGCTGGGGCAGGCAGAGACTGTTGGGGCTATGGGGTGCAGGTGAGGTGGGGGAAGTGACGCTGGGATGGGTGGAAGCTGACATGAGAGGCGATGAGGGCATGGGAGGAGAGCGGTGTTAGGATGCATGGATGGGAGGTGTGATCAGAGCCCACCACTCACACCGCACACATGCTTAAATTCCATCCGCACCGCGCTCGCTATCCCTACCTCCCACCCAACGCAGCAAGCCCATCCCCTCCTCCCCCTCCCCCCGTCTCTCACGGGTTGCCTGGGGGCGGAGCTTCACGTGGTGACAACAGATGCCCTTTGAGTCAATAAGCCTCTTCCCCACATCCCCCCTCCCCCGCTCCCTCCCTTCCCCCCCTCTCGCCCCCTCCCCCTCTCCTCCCCCTCCACCCCTCCTCAGGTTGCTGGGTAGCTGAACGCTGCCAGGGGGTGGACAGCAGAGCATCCCTCCAAGGCTACGGTCCGCCAGAGGAGCCTAGCGGCCTGACAGCTGTCGGGCGGCCAGCAGTGAGAGTCGCGGTGGTGCTGGCGTCGGCAGCAGCGAGGAGGGCAAGGTGGCCATCGTGCGCTCTGCTCAGCCCCGGCGTGAGACCCTGCTTCCTGTCCTGTGCTCTAGTGCGTGGCAGCTGCCTGCAGCGCGCTCATGCTCACCTCACGCTGCTCCTCCCCCCACCTCCTGCACTTCCATCCCGAATCCCATGCACACACAGCAGCCTCTGCACCGCGCACCATTCATTCTCACACACCCCCAAGCGTTGCCTGCTCCAACCCATGTGCCCTTCCGTGTTGCCTGCTCCAACCCATGTGCCCGTACCGTGTTGCCTGCTCCAACCCATGTGCCCTTCCGTGTTGCCTGCTCCAACCCATGTGCCCTTCCGTGTTGCCTGCTCCAACCCATGTGCCCGTCCGTGTTGCCTGCTCCAACCCATGGTGCCCTTCCGTGTTGCCTGCTCCAACCCATGTGCCCGTCCGTGTTGCCCTGCTCCAACCCATGTGCCCTTCCGTGTTGCCTGCTCCAACCCATGTGCCCTTCCGTGTTGCCTGCTCCAACCCATGTGCCCGTCCGTGTTGCCTGCTCCAACCCATGTGCGTTGCCTGCTCCAACCCATGTGCCCGTCCGTGTTGCCTGCTCCAACCCATGTGCCCTTCCGTGTTGCCTGCTCCAACCCATGTGCCCTTCCGTGTTGCCTGCTCCAACCCATGTGCCCTTCCGTCTTGCCTGCTCCAACCCATGTGCCCTTCCGTGTTGCCTTCCTCACCCACGGGTCCCCTTCCTCGTGCCTCACCCACGTGTCCCCTTCTCCCTCGCCCATATGTCCCCCCAGGTGGTGAAGGCGGGCGTGAATGCGGGCAAGCTGGCGGGCGCCATGGCGCGTGTGTGTGGGGGAGGGGGAGGGGGGCGCCCCAACTTTGCGCAGGCAGGGGGCAGGCAGCCGGAGAAGCTGCCGGAGGCACTGGCTGTGGGCAGGGCGGAGCTCATGAAGCAGCTGGGGGCGTAGCGGGCGGTGGGAGCAGGCGCATCCCACCCCATGCTGTGCCATCCATGAGCTGGTTTCTCCGCACTGCGGCTCTCATAAGCATACCACAGTCGTGCGGTGAACCATTTTTGGAATTGATGAAGCCTAGGAGGAGATAAGATGTGTGCGAGCTAAGCTTGGATCAAGGAGTTAAATAAAAAAGTGACTCATCTCAACCCTGCCAATGTAATGCATGCCAGCTGGATACCAACTTCATCTCCCACCCATCCCCTTGGCAAGTCACCAACGACAGACCTTTAAAGCCCGCGTCCCAAATTGCGGACCGCGAGGGTCAAGTTTTTAAAACTTGACGAAGTTGAGTTGTCCAAGCTTTTGAAAGTCACGCACCTGCAATTTGGGACTTTCAAAGACAGATTCACTCACCAGGGGGAAAACCGAGGGTTGGCTGGGTCTCGCGAAAAAAAAAAAACGAACCTAGACGAAATTGCGAACTCTCGCCAAAGCCTACACCAGAAAAACTCCCTCTGGTCAACTTTTAAAAGCATGAACAATTTGGGCCGCCGGCTTTAAGTAGAGGCCCTCCGCCATACCGGTACACATTGTGTGATGAGTTGTCTCTCCACACAGTCAGCAACCTCTGACGTATTGTTAGAATACGCAGGCAGGAATGATTGCATTGAGCAGCAGGATGAGTACAAGTATGAAACCCGAAAGGGTTGTACTCACTAGAGTATTGCCCCACTACAGCCTAGAAGCATACAAATGGAATTTGACACACCCCCATAGGCAAAATGGGGGATAGCAAACACAACGAACGGTCACAAGACCAGTCAAGCAAGAGAACAAAGCAAAGCAAAGCTCAGGGTGGATCTCAAGGACACCACACAATCTGAGCACAAGCAAGCGGCCACAAGGCCAGTTCACATGCAGAGTTATAATAGCAAGGCAGTACACTGATCACAACCTACCGTCATCGCCCGGATATAAGACATATATGTCTTATCTCATACACTATGCTTGGGTTATCTTGTATTTGGGGAGGTTTTGGGTGTCTTATAAGTCTTATAAATGGAAACTTTTTTAAACTACTTAGAAATATTTTCACGCATCTTGAAAAGAGTTTCTCATTAAGAGTGTGGATGGTTCAAAGGTGCCACTTCGGCAACCATTGTTCGGGACGCCACGTCATCCCGAATACTTGCAGAGGCAAATTTGGTAGTACGTGAGTCAGCACGTGGCAGAATTCGTGTGTCGCAAGGGTAAAGATGTACGCGGCATTTCAATTTTCACTATAATACATGCAGGTTCGATTATAAGACACATATGTCTTATCTCGTACACACAAATAGGTGTCGTATAAAAAGGCTAGCCTGTTTATAAGAGACACCCGTATAATAGACAACCCCTGTCTACTATTCAACACTGTCTTATATCCGGGCGATGACGGTATCAAGAGTAAACAAGCAGGTATAAAGATATATATCAGTGTACAACAAGAGCAAGTCAAGCAACCAGCAGGTGAGGCAGAGCGGGCACAAGCCCAAGAGCTGTGCAGAAACGCTGATGATCACCAGACCCAAGGGCCTTGGTGAAGACATCAGCAGTGTTGGCCCGAGAGGCCACGTAAGCAAGGCGTAGCTGACCACGCTGCTGCAGCTCACGCGCAAGGAAGTAGCGAAGAGCAATGTGCTTCGTTCTGTGCTCCAGTCTCTGCTCGCGACACAAGGCAAGCATTGCCTTGTTGTCGACGTACAGAACTGGAGGAGAACGAGGCCGCTCCCCCAAGTCGGTCAGCAGGTAGGTCAGCCAGCGAAGCTCCTGTGCAGCCATGGCCCCCAGCGTAGATCTCGGCCTCACAGCTGGAACCAAGCACAGAAGAAGAACGAGTGGACCTCCACGAGACAGAACCAGAGCCAAGACTGAAGGTGTAACCCTATGACGAACGCTGAGTCGTCTGGTCGTCGGCCCAAGAAGCGTCAGAGTGTCTTGTGAGTACCACTGGACCCCGTCCTCCAAGCACGAGCCCCATGCCCGATGTACTGCACAAGTAACGTAGTACTCTCTTCGCATAATCAAAGTGCACCTTTGGTGTCTACCGGGAGCCACGTAGCGAGCCAGGAGGCTGAGAGGGTACGCGAGGTCAGGTCGTGTGCAGGTCATCAGGTACATGAGGCAGCCCACAAGCTCTGGGTACGGACCACTCGGCTCTACGGACTCGTCCGAAGGTGGAGCTGAGAGCGAGTGGCCGGTAGACAGAGGAGTGGGCTGTGGCGAGGACCACGTGAAAGCCGAAGCGCTGAAGGACCTGCTGCACCATGTGTGACTGAGTGAGGGTGATGGTGCGCCGTGCTGTGTCCCGGGTGATCTGCAAGCCAAGATAGCTCCGCAACTCACCCAGGTCAGTGCAGGTGTGTCTCTCCTGCAGCTCCGCCTTCACTACGGCCAGTGCCTCAGTGTCAGCAGTAGCAAAAACCAAGTCGTCGACGTACACGAGGATGTAGAACGCTGGCAGAGTAGTGTCGGTGCGTAGAAACAGCGACGGGTCAGCAGTCGAAGGAGCAAACCCAAGAGCCGCAAGTGTCGTCCTCAAGTGTGTCGTGCCACTCGCGGGGCGCCTGACGCAGGCCGTACACTGGTCACCGTAGGCTCCACTGGGTACCCTCAGGAAACGACCCAGTGAAGCCCTCTGGACGGCGCAACTAGATGGCCTCGTGAAGGCTACCCTGCAAGAAAGCTGTCGAGAAGTCGAGGGAGTGCAGCTCGTAGTCGCGCTGTGCTGCAACGTGTAGCAACACCCGAAGAGTGGTCATCTTTGGGGTAGGGGTGAGGTCTGACTGAAGCCTCGAGCAACGTAACGTGCCTTGAAGGCAGGCGAAGAACCCGTCGGCCGCTTCACTCTGAAAATCCACATGCCACTGACAATGTTCGCCCCAGGTGGGGGAACCTCGTCGACGTAGGTGCCTGTGGACTTCCAGGAAGCCATCTCTGTGTCCATGGCTGTTTGCCACTGAGAGGAGTACTCACCCGAAATCGCCTCTCTGTAAGAGCGCGGGGTCGGGATGTCAAGTGCATCCGGGTCTCCCTCAGGGGCAAGCAGCATGGTCACGAGATGTGGTGCAGCGACTGCAAGGCACTCCAGCTCCTCCTGCCTATCCTCAAGAACGTCACAGCCAAGGGCAGTACAGCCAAGGGCAGTCTCACCCCCGACGGACGGAGGAAAGGCAGGGACAGGGTCAGAAACAAGACTCACAAGGTAGTCTAGGCGGTACACAGCAGCAAAGTCAACGAGCTCAGCGACTAAGGCAGACGCAGTAGGAGACGAGAACGAAGGGCTAGTCACCACCGTAGCAAGAAAGCGAGTAAACAGTCGGACTGGACGCACGAGCAAGGTCAGACGGAGGGTCAGCAACGTCAGGAAGAGAGGACGCAGGAGGTAACGGCAGGACAACATGCTGTGAAAAGAGGAAGGACGGAGTGTCATATCGTGAGTGCCTGGGACAGCCGGAGCACGCTGATGACGAACACGAGGAACACGAGTACGGACAGCGGCTCTAGGCTCGGGCTCAAGGTCAAAGCTAGACTCAGGCTCTCGACGCTCAGGGGTGGAAGCACGAGTCCTCAGGCTCTCGACGCTCAGACAGGGACTGTGTCACCGCAATGTAAGGAGCAGGAGCAGGCAGTGGGGAGTGCGGTAGCAGCGGCGGCTGAGACTGGTGTGCCGGAGGAAACAGTAACGGAGGAGCAGTACCTGCCACTGGGAAGTCAGTAGCACCTGGCGGAAGACTGAGAAGGTGGCGAAGAGCACCAGCAGCCCCCGTACCTCCAGCACGAGCAGCTCCACCAGTACTCCCAGCAGCACCTCCAGCACCAGTAGCACCAGCACCTCCAGCACCTCCAGCACCACTAGCTCCGGCAACGCCAGCACCTCTAGCACCAGCAGTACCTCCAGCACCTCCAGTGCCAGCAGCTCCAGTAGCACCTCCAGCACCTCCAGCACCAGGAGCACCACCTGCTCCGGCAGCTCCAGCACCTCTAGTACGAGTACCTCCAGGACCAGCAGCTCCAGCACCTCCAGTACCTCCAGCTCCAGCTCCAGCGCCTCCAGCACCAGCAGTACCTCCAGCACCTCCAGTGCCAGCAGCTCCAGTAGCACCTCCAGCACCTCCAGCACCAGCAGTACCACCTGCTCCGGCAGCTCCAGCACCTCTTAGTACTAGCACCTCCAGGACCAGCAGCTCCAGCACCTCCCAACTCCAGTACCTCCAGCTCCAGCGCCACCAGCACGAGCAGCACCAGCACCTCCAGGGTCAGCAGCTCCCGTAGCACCTCCGGCACGAGCAGCACCACCAGCTCCGGCAAGCTCCAGTACCTCTAGTACGAGCACCTCCAAGACCAGCAGCTCCCGCAGCTCCAGCACCAGTAGCACTAGCACCTCCAGTGCCAGCAGCTCCAGTACCCCCAGCACCTTCAGTACCAGCCAGTACCTCCAGCACTAGCAGCTCCAGTACCTCCAGCTCCAGTACCTCCAGCACCAGCAGTAGCTCTAGTACCTCCAGCACCAGCAGCACCTCCAGCACCTCCTAGCACCAGTAGCACCTCCAGTACCTCCAGGCCTAGCAGCTCCAGTACCTCCAGCACCAGTAGCACCTCTAGTACCTCCAGCAGTACCTCCAGGACTAGCAGCTCCAGTACCTCCAGCACCAGTAGCACCTCTAGTATCACTGGCTGGCACGTCTGTGCACATGGTCCGCGGTATTTTCACCGCCGTTATCTTAACCTTGCCAGGCTGGCTGAAACCCCTGTATTACCAGTTTCATGTCAAACTTATATGCTATAGTCTATGTAGGCTGTAGTGGGGTAGTTCATATGGGGTACAACACATTTAGGGTTTCCTGCTTGTACCCACATTGCTGCCTAGTTCATCCATTCCTCGTTCTCATTCTCACATGGTATTAGAGCAGAATCGTTCCTAGGGCCCACCGAACGTTCCGCCTTGCCCCTAACTGAAATTTTTTTTTTTTAGCTGCCCCTGCGGCCGCGCTGCCCTTGCAGCCCGCGTGCTG